TTAATTAAAATACATTGATTAGTGACTTAAACCACAAACTGAAATGAGTATCTACATGTGTCTACATTTTCTTAAGTTAGAAATTATATTCAATTAAATAGGTACAGTTGTATTGTTAATTTGTTAAAGCTTAAGAGGCAAAAGTCTCTTTCAACAGTAACTATTAACGTGAATGATTGAAGGGACACCAGGAACCCAGACCTAAATCATCTCTGTGGTGCTCTAATTTGTGTGTGTGTCTCTCACACACCCAAAAGCTGGTTGTTCTCTGTGGTGCTCTAATTTGTGTGTGTCTCTGACACACCCAAAAGCTGGTTGGTTCAATAAAATAATGTTCACCCACTTGTCCCTCACCAGTGTAAATACCTGTTCTTAATTATAATTTAACAAAGATCACAATTTATAATGTACTCTTTACATTATACCTGGATTGGATGTAAAATTTCCCTAGTCCATTTCACTTTGTTTGGAGGAAGATATGTAGAAAGATGCATTGGGTTCCAGAAACACTGTAGGACAAACAAAAAACAAACAAACAAAACTGTTTCCATCAGAACTTAAAAGTCTCAGAAATGTTTCTATTAACCCTAGTTCAGATTTATTTTTTCCATGCCGTGTTTTTAACCAGCCTAGATTTAACCCAACTAGATATGATGTTTAACAGTCTTATCGTGGATTACACAGCAAATACGTCAATTTGAGATAGCCTGTTTTTGAATCTGCCCGCTGAAAATATTTCACCAAGCTGTCACTCATCAACAGTCATCCAAAACACAGAGAAAGTCTGGCACTGAAATACAACACGTTAATCAAAACATTGACGTTAATACATGCACACAACAGCTACAAATCAACTCACTCAATCCCAGTTTCTCTGCTTTTTCTGTGCTTGTTAAAAATGGCAAAGTAAACAGTTATGGAACAATTGCTTTTTTCCTCTTGGTGTTTATTTTAAAGTGGATATTACAGTGTCTCCTGACTATCTACCCTTTAGCAACAGTTTGCTTTTTATTTATTCTGAACTGTGAAGATTTTATTCCATGTCACTAGTTCCTAAATAATACCTAAAGAAACCCTGCCACTATTCTAATTCTGAAGTCCCTTTGCAAGAAAGGACTTCTGAATTTGTCAGTTAAAATAACTTGTTACACCCTTGAGATTGTCAAGTAATTCAGTTGTGTTACACACATAAAATAGTTTATTGTACTGCTTTTTTAGCTAGCCAGTAGTTTGAGTTAATTATTTACTCATTAGCAAAAAACACAGTCATGAGACTGACCTCCAGAACAGAGGTGTCAGCTCAGGGAAGGTTAGTACTACAACATAACTGGAGTTGGAAGGGGCAGAAGAGAAGACCCTGGACAGGACTGGAAACTACTTGCTCCAGCAACTGCAGGGATGGAGAAAAATGCTCTAACATCTCTTCCAAGATATACAATAAAAAAAATGCAGTCTACAGAAGACTGTCCATGGTTGATGGCACCACACTAGGTATTGAGTAGTGAAGTTCTCACAGCTACAAATCTGCAGGGCAGTCCCATAGGGTGTGCCACATTGTGCTCTGATCCATGCACCCTTTACACAACAGTGGAGAATATGAGAATCATGTGCTGGGGTGTTTGTCTCATTCAGGCTATGGATGTAAGTGAGTAGTGGACTACTTCACTACCCAATAAGCCAACGCTTATCAGGTAGACAAGTTGACTACTCGCATTCCATCCCACTCTGAGGCAGCAAAGGGAAGCAGGGGGGCGGGGGAGGGGTGGAGAAGGGAGCCAGTGCTGGGGAGAGCCAGCTTAAAAGTCCATTCCCCACAGCATCATCTCTACAGTGCCACCTGCACACACCCCTCGCTGCTTCCTTTATCAGAGGCAGCAGCGCAGGGGAAGGGTGACCAGGGGCTGCTACCATGAAACAGCCCCTGTCCATGGAGGGTCCCCAATTCCCTGCTGGGATCCCCACAGACAGGAGCTGTTGCCAGCTGGGCATGCAGACTGTCTCAGTCCAGGCTTGCGCCATGTCTGGACCAAACCCCGCTGCAGCTCTGCAGTTTTAAAATGCCCTCTCTCCTCCTCCCCCACCCCACCCCTACTGCATTTTCAATTGCAGAGCCACAGCAGGGTTTGGTCCTGGACTCACCGCAAGCCAGGCTGCCTTCCCCTATGGGCTAATCAATTTGTTGATAAATATTCTATCAACTACTTGATTAGTAAATTAACCTCAATGTAACATTCCTAATTCAGACAACATGGCTGAAGAGAATGCAGTGCCACTTTTGAAAGTATATCAAAGTTGGCCAACCTGTCAGTATCATGGTTAATCACTGGAATGGCAGTAGGTTATTCCTTCTATGGTATTGGTAACTTGATTGCTTAGTGGCAGATAGGCCTGTTGACACCGGTGATTATGATCTTGTATGAGTTCTTTAACAAAAGCTATCATGTACCACATGTCATTCAGTGATAACACATCCCATGTGATATTGAATGCACCTCTAAGGTCGGTTTTGGACTTACAGAAAGTTGGGATCATCAAGGCTACAACTACTCTGCCTCATGGGGATTATTTTTGGGAGACACCTCTCCCAGGAGCCTTTCTGCCAGATGCTGTTGGTTCCTGAAAGCATGGGTAACAGTTATAAAGATCTAATCGTTCGACCCTACACATTCCATGTGTGCACAGTTGTGGCCCATCCACCTTCACTACTGTTGGAGAACTTGGCCCTGATCCATTGACTCTGTTGTTGGTCTCTCGTTACTCTAAGTGGGGGTCCTTTTGGGCCAAAGGTTTACATAGGTATGGAGAACCACACTCTGAATTAGAGCAACTTACACCAAAACCACTCAACACTCTGAATTAGAGCAACTTACACCACAACCACTCACATAGGGCTGGGTCAATCCTCTCATTATGCAAAAACTATGCCATGTGCTATTTAGCTTAGCACAGGGAAAGGGAGGGGGCAATAATTTTTTATGTGAGGGGCACTCCAAGAATTTGGAAAATGGACAAGGGCTGAACTCTTCCATTAAATTAATGGAGAGTGCTATTTAGCTTAGCACAGGGAAAGGGGGGGGCAATCATTTTTTATGTGAGGGCACTCCAAGAATTTGGAAAATGGACAAGGGCTGAACTCTTCCATTAAATTAATGGAGAAGATACGGGGTCTGGGATGGAGGTTAGGTGCAGAAAGGAGCTTGGGGTAAGGGATTGGGGTGCAGGGGTTTGGGTTGTGACCTGGGGCAGGGGATTGGGGTGAAACATCTGGGAAGAAAGAGGATTGGGGTGAGGGAGGAGTTAGGGAGCCAGAGGCAGGCTCTGGCCAAGAGACTTACCAGGGCTACTCTTAGCCATCAGCCCAGCAGGTTTCTCAGGCAGGCTACAGGGGCCATGTGTATCTGTAAATAGATGCAAGCCCAGGGGGCGGGGGGAGAAGGGGACATTGTGTGTGCTGCCTGTTCTTCATGGCCAATGGGACTGTGCTAGGGGCGGGGGCAGCAATCAAAGTTTATCCTCCTCTTACCCCGGTCTCAACTGTTCAAAGACTAAACAGGGCCCTGCAGCTGCTTTTCTGAACTATGTGCGAGGCTTTGAGGCGCCATGCTGACCGGATCCAGCACAGTCTGGAGCTGGTTCACGGGCTGTATTTTGCCCAGCCCTGGCTTAGAGGCACTTCTCATGTCTTTAGATTTAGCTATTCATTTTGAACAAATTTAAATATTCTGAACAATATAATAGGAAATACATTTGGGAATTTTAAGTTTAAAAAAAGCCTTATGGATTAAATATTCTGAACAATGTAATAGGAAATACATTTGGGAATTTTAAGTTTAAAAAAAACCTTATGGATATTGTTCAGACGAGTACTATGATTTTAGTCTATTCAGGAGACTTTATTGAAGATTGTTTAACAGATCAAGACATATACAAAACTGAACTTGCCCTTTGAACTGGATTACACATTTCAACATTCACATTAATCTTTTGTCCACAGTAAATCCCCTCAAGTCAGTGTGTTCCTTATTTATGCTCCCATGCTATGCACTCAGTTATTCTAGAATATACACCAGTAACTGTTGATGTGTATATCAGAGTGCACTGCAGCCATGAACCTTCTACTTATATTTATTTTTACACACACACACACACACACACACACACACACACACACACCCCTCCCCCAATGATCACGGGATACCTCTCAATTTTCAGGTTCTTGCCTTATTTTACACATTGCCAGTATATAAAAAAGAAAATATTTCCAGAATATTTCTCCAACCCCAGCAGAGTGAGAAGCAATAGTTAAAAAATAAATGTGAAGGAGAAACAATATGTATTGACAATATGCGCTTAAAATTACTCCCTGCTGCTGCTACTGACTGAGCTAAAAATCAAAATGAACAGCAGCAAGGAACTAAAATGCAGCATTTTTAAGTGTATTCTAGGAGCAGAAATTAGGGATACAGAGGATTTAGGACAATCAACCCCCTTCTCAATTAAGAATTATTCCCAACATGTTCTCTAATATTTTGTAGTATGGTATTGACTTGCCCCTCTGTGTAAGAAATTCAGCAGTTACACTTTTACAAAAATAAATGTTTGCTAACATCCCAACTAATTACCTGGACATTTAGGAACAAGTGGGGAATCCAACAATCCCCAAATTTGAAACAGGAACAATAAATCTCACAAAGCAATGATGGAAATAGGTTGCTAGCATTTCTTCTGGATGCCTCCTGTAGATTCCCATAATCTTGTCTGGGTTGGACTTGGTTTCACCTGGCTAGTCCAAATCTATGCCTAGTAACTGTGTAAGCCACTTTTAATACTCGTAGGATTAGAAATGATGGAAAAACAAAAGCGGTGTTCCACACATATGCTAATACGTATTCCAAGCTGTGTTCACAGTGAAGCAGTCAGAACTCTGCTTGAGAGGAATCTCAAAGTAGATCATCAATTTCCCAATATTACCCGCTTTGGGATTCCCCCCAAAACCAACAGATCAGGGCACTTAGAAAAACAAGAGACAAGCAAAGACAGGTTCTAGTACAGAGGGGGGAAAGCCCATATAACCCTTAGCAGGGGAAAACCCAGTTACAGGAATTACCTTCCTTTTCCTCTACTTTGTTTAAATAGAAGGGAATCAATCAGGATTCCCATAGTTTTGACAATCTGATCCCAAGACTGGAGTCCTATGCCAGAGTTGTACTTCTAGTTCTGACAACTATTAACAGGTCACTTCTTGGTGGATCAGAACGGCAGCCCTGACATAGGGTCTACAAGTACAGCAAATAGTATCTTAGAGTAGCATGTCAAAAACAGGTGATAGGTATAAAATAATCAACATGAACACATGTTCTCCATCCATTTTCCATAGGACACAAACCACCAACATCACTGCAGTTTCTGTACCAGACAGATCTATGCTTAAATTCACTGAGATGAAAGAGCCTTAAAGACTTTGTTTGGAAACAGCCTTCTCAATAGGCTTCACCAAAAGAAGTAGCTT